CTAGAAAAGAATGGGAAGGGCTGGGAAAACCAAATAACACATCTGCCTCTGGGCTTCTGCCCTGGGCAACAAAACAAGACCCTGTCTCAAAAAAGAAGCAATGTACATTTATTTTTATTTTTTTATTTTTTTTATTTTTTTGAGGCGGAGTTTCGCTCTTGTTACCCAGGCTGGAGTGCAATGGCACGATCTCGGTTCACCGCAACCTCCGCCTCCTGGGTTCAGGCAATTCTCCTGCCTCTGCCTCCTGAGTAGCTGGGATTACAGGCACGCACCACCATGCCCAGCTAATTTTTTGTATTTTTAGTAGAGACGGGGTTTCACCATGTTGACCAGGATGGTCTTGATCTCCTGACCTCGTGATCCACCCGCCTCGGCCTCCCAAAGTGCTGGGATTACAGGCTTGAGCCACCGCGCCCGGCTATTTTTTTTATTTTTTTGAGGCGGAGTTTCGCTCTTGTTACCCAGGCTGGAGTGCAATGGCGCGATCTCGGCTCACCGCAACCTCCGCCTCCTGGGTTCAGGCAGTTCTCCTGCCTCAGCCTCCTGAGTAGCTGGGATTACAGGCACGCGCCACCATGCCCAGCTAATTTTTGTATTTTTAGTAGAGACAGGGTTTCACCATGTTGACCAGGATGGTCTCGATCTCTCGACCTCGTGATCCACCCGCCTTGGCCTCCCAAAGTGCTGGGATTACAGGCTTGAGCCACCGCGCCAGGCCGCAATGTACATTTATAAACATACAGTTTGGTTCCCAAGTTTTAAAAAAAAAAGGCAATCGGCCGGGCGTGGTGGCTCAAGCCTGTAATCCAAGCACTTTGGGAGGCCGAGGCGGGTGGATCACGAGGTCAAGAGATCGAGACCATCCTGGTCAACATGGTGAAACCCCGTCTCTACTAAAAATACAAAAAATTAGCTGGGCATGGTGGCGCTTTGCCTGTAGTCCCAGCTACTCAGGAGGCTGAGGCAGGAGAATTGCCTGAACCCAGGAGGCGGAGGTTGCGGTGAGCCGAGATCGCGCCATTGCACTCCAGCCTGGGCAACAAGAGCGAAACTCCGTCTCAAAAAAAAAAAAAAAAGGCAATCTATGTGAGATAGTGAACATTACCGTAGCTTGGCATTTTTGTTGGCTTGTTGAGGCCCAGCCTGGGTAAATAGATAATTTACAGTAAGCTTTCTGGTATGTTAAAAGTAGCTCATCCCGGGGGAGAGGTGTGTGGCATGTATGTACTTATGCAGCAGTCCGGCAGGATGCAGGATGTGCACATGTACCCCAGAGCCTAAAGTACCATCAAAAAAAAAAAAAAAAAGTCGCTCATCCCTACTCTTACCAACTTTGAGGACTCTGGACATCAGGGTGGAATAGAGACACTGGCTGGGTAAGAGGCCTGTATGGAGACCTGGAGGCTTTTTACCTTAGGTATTCTCCCACCTCATCCCATACTCCTGAGGGAGGGCTGGCTGAGTTGCTCTTACCCTTCTTTCTTTGGATGCTAGGAGGCTCACCTGCAAAGATGACCAGCCCGAAGCACCACTCGGTGTTTCGCAGCACACAGCCCCGCAGCAGCATGTTCTGGTTGCTCAGGGGGAACTTGTTTTCCTTCCAGTAGAGGGTTCCGCTGAATTTGTCCAGTTTGTTGTTGGGAGGTTCACAGATCACTTCACCTGAATGGAAGACAAGAATTTCACTGCTCAAGTACTGCTCCAGTCTACAGCCTGATCACAAGACCACGGAACAAAGAGAAAATGAGCTGAGGGAGAGGACGCAAGGACAAGGGCCCATCTATATGCTGCTGCTGGGAGTGCGAGCTGATGCAACTCTTCAGGAAAATAATGAAGCAGGTCGGGTGTGGTGGCTCACGCCTGTCATCCCAGCACTTTGGGAGGTCAAGGCGGGCGGATCACTTGAGGTCAGGAGTTCGAGACCAGCCTGGCCAACATGGTGAAACCCTGTATCTACTAAAAATAAAAAAATTAGCCAGGCATGGTGGTGTGGGCCTGTAATTCCAGCTACTCAGGAGGCTGAGACATGAGAATCACTTGAACCTGGGAGGTGGAGGTTGCAGTGAGCCAAGATCACACGACTGCACTCCAGCCTGGGCGACAGAGTAAGTCTCGGTCTCAAAAAAAAAAAAAAAAACAGTAGCAGCATAACCTAATATATGCTTGTATAAACATATATGAAAAAGTGTGGATGAACACACACTGACTATCAGTTATTGTGGCTACCTATGCAGGGTAGAGGAAGAGGAAAAGAAAAGCTATTTGCTTTTTTTTCTTCTTCTTTTTTTTGAGACAATCTCACTCTGTTGCACAGGCTGGAGTGCAGTGGTACAATCTCGGCTCACTGCAAACTCTACCTCCCAGGTTCAAGCGATTCTCCTGCCTCAGCCTCTCGAGTAGCTGGGACTACGGGTGCCCACCATCATGCATGGTCTAATTTTTATATTTTTAGTAGAAACAAGGTTTCACCATGTTGGCCAGTCTGGTCTCAAACTCCTGGCCTCAAGCAATCTGCCCACCTCAGCCTCCCAAAGTGCTGAGATTACAGGTGCAAGCCATAGTACCGGCCTCTATTAAACTTTTTCTTATATATTCTGTACGGTTTGTCTTATAGGAGCATATATTATTATTCCAAGCTAATAAGCAAAAAGAATAAGCTGAATTTCTCTCAGCATGCAAAGCACATGGGGTGGTATCAGCCACAAAGTTCCCTTGAAATAATCGTCAGCTTACAACTAAGAGGTAGCCACATGACATTATCAACACTCCCCTCCCGGAAACCGTCCTGGGAGTTGTATAATCGTAACAACAAAAAGCCCAAAGGAAAAGGTATCATTTAACTCCCCCCAAACAAAACCCAGCGCCCCCCTACCTCCAGGCTACTCCTCCAAAGATTACTCACCATCAAACTTGGCAAGCTTACTGATGTCTCCCAATTCTGAAGTGACTGGAATCGCCTGACGTACTTTCATGTTGGTCTCGCTGGAAGGACAGTATCCCTGAGTCCCCACTCCTTCCTCATCCTCTAAATGTTTTTTTTTTTTTTTTAATAGATCACTCTGTTGCCCAAGTTGGAGTGCAGTGGCACAATCATACTGAAGCCTCCAACTCCCAGGCTCAAATGTTCCTTCCACCTCAGCCTCCCAGGTAGCTGGGATTACAGGCACTAAAAGTATCATGCCCAACTAATTTTTTAACTTTTTAAATTTTTTTTTTTTTTAAATAGAGACGAGGTCTCACCATCTTGCCCAGGCTGGTCTCAAACTCCTGGGCTCAAGCAATCCTCCCACACTGGCCTCCCAAAGTGCTGGGATTTACAGGAGTGAGCCACCATGCCCCAGCCTTCCCCAGCCTCTAAATTCTACCCAGGGACACGTAAGCATGGGGCATAGCTGCTTAGCCCAGCAATTACTGGTTGAATAATACTTCATACATCCGAAGCCTTTTTTACCCCTAAGTTTGCCAAATTCAGACAGAGCCCAGACCTAAGAACCTAGTTCAAAGACAACCTTTTTACCTCCAAAGAGACAGAAGGGGAGGGCTGACACGGAGCATGCCGCTTACCCATCCAGTTCTGCTGTCTCTATGTAACACAGCCCGTGGGGCTCACTGCTGGAAAGGAGGAGGAGATCCGCCTAGAGAGAAAAACCTAATGAGAAGTCCAAATATGCAAACCTCCACCCCCAGTGGGCTGTGATGATGGCTCCTTCCACTAAGCATTCTTGGTCTGCTTAGTTCTAGGTGCATCAGTGGCCCCTGACGTGAGAAAGTTTCCTGCCGTGGGTGGGTGGGGGTTTAAGAGGCAACAGTAAATCAGGAAAGCTTCATCCCTATTTGACAAAGAAGAGGAAGAACGCTATAGGCCTAGAGGGGTACCCTGTCCCTTACCGCCACGAACTGGTTATTTTCTAGCTTGATAATATCACCAACACAGACATTCATCCACTGCTCCTGCTGGAGGCTGAGGCAACGAGAAGACAGTGAAGAGGCTGTCAGGAGCTACAGAGGCTCCCAGGGGACCCCATTCCTCCCCAGAGCCCTCGTCTCCAGCAGGCACTCACATTCCATTGATCAGCACCTGAGACTGGCGGTTATTCACCTGGTTATCACTCTTGTGGCGGAACTGAGAAGAAAACTGTAAAAGGTAAGACACCATTCCCTGCCTGGAAGGAATTCGCTGATCAGCAGAACTCAGAGCACGCAGATTAACACCTCATACACACCCCATCACAAACCAGTTCTCTCCTTTACCCTCCCCGCCCCCAGAGCAAAAAGACACCATGGATCTAGCCGGACCGGGTAAGGGATGTCAAGAAAACCAAAAAACTGTGCTGGATGAAGGTGGCTGGGAGTTGGGGGTGGGCGTGGGAGTAATGGTGGGTGACTGGGACAAAATAGAGGAATGAAAACAACTCACATAGTCATCAGTGGCATCTTTAACAGCTGTGATGGTGAGGACGAGAACCAAAGGCACAATGGTGGTGAACCAGGACAGGGAAGAGATCTGTGGGATCAACTGAAAGGAAGAAAGAGAAGCATGCCTCCGAAACCCCATCTGATGCCTTCCTTCCCCTTCCTCTTTCCTGACTTTATTCAGTTTGGGGAGCTGCAAAAGATCTACTATGTATGGGTCACCTACCTGCAGAATGAGGAGGAACAGGAAGTACGTATTGGCAACTTCCTGGAACTGCTCAAAGAGGTTGACAGGCAGGAAGGTGAGAATATTGTATTTGGAGGTCTTGATGCAGTTACTCTATGGCAGTAGGAGAGAAGATAAATGAGCAGCCTCCAGCCCCAACCCAGAACCAGACTGAAGCTGCCTCACCATCTTTATACTTCCCCAGATCTCTGCCCCAAAAGCCAGCAGTAACGGGTGTGAGAGGGGGAAAGAGGAGAAGGGAGTCTCAAGGGGTCAATGTATTCTGCTTCACTGACAGGTGAAGGCATGAAAAATTCAGCACAGTAGCAGATGGAGAGTGGCTGAAGAGGTTGCCGTCCCCTCTCCCAAGCGCTCTTCCCAGGCAGCCCTCAGTCCCAGCGTCGGCTGTCCTTGCCCCTTTCCCCTCTCCAATCAGAGAGAAGGAACAGGTGGTCTGGAGTCACTTACCGCATACTGGAATTTCTCATTGTATTCTCGGTCATTAGCCCGCGCCCTCCTTTCTTCTTCTGCAACAAAATGATGCTGCAGTCAGGAGGAGCAAACTGAGGTCTGGACCAACACTCTGTGAGGGTTCCCTGGTTTTTTCCACAGAATATCGTTTTAAGGAGTTCGCTCCACAACTGAGGGGTCATGAAATTCGTCCCTCCGGTCCAACCTTGCACCAGCGGCCTGACCCACGGCTCTCCAGGTTACACTCACAGGACAAGGCGTGTTCTCTTTTCCTCACCACCAACCTTCAAAGTCTACAACTGGGAGTACCCAGTTTGTCTCCCCCGCCCCCGCTCCAGAGGAATCTTCGCCATTGACAGTCTTGGGATTCCCCAGCCCCTTTTGCTGCTATTATTAATGCATACATCGTCATAATCAAGGAGTAGTGCTGAAAACACAGAGCTGCCTCCCACCTGGGGACCACTGCAGACCTAGCCACTGTACTGCTCTCTCCCTATTTCGAGGGTAGGGTAGGTGGCAAGAAGGAGGGTCACTGTGCCCTGGAGCTGCGCTGCGGCAGCATCCCAGCCCCACGTGCAGTCCCCCCTACAGGAGCCTCTGCTTGTCACATGTCACCAGCAGCTGCTTCTGACTGGCCCACAATGACATCACCTTATTTCAAAGCTCATCTTCAAGTAGAAAAGGTGGGGGTGATCAGGGATATGGGTCATGCAGACTGAGACAGAGATGGAGGAGGGAGGGATGAAATGTAATTGAAACAGTTGCTCTCTAACTGGGCCTTGCCTGTGCCGTCTGCACGCATTTCCCTTAAAGGGCTCATCTGTCACTCAGTGACACTTACCTAGCTAAACCTATCCCAAACCTCTGCAGGTCTGGGACTGCAGGCACCAAATTCATGTCCCAGAACAAGGACCTGTCCTATCATGGATTCCCCAGCCCATCTCCCGGGGGGTCACCATGACCTCATGCTGCAAAAGGGGGTAACTTGGTTAGGCAGTAAACCTAATGCCTTAAACCTGTCCAGGAGCCAAAGACAGCATTCCAGAACCTTTTCCACACACCCCAGGACCCCTGCAGAGCACACTGCAGTAACAAAACCCCAGGCCACAGTGCCCCCTGCCTACCAAGCCACTTCACTCCCAAAAACTTCCCTAGAGGGGTTCCCTTGGGCTGAGTCCCCTGCGCAATCACCAAAGACCATGCAAAGGAAGATGGTAGGAACTGGACCCTTCGGAGCCAGGAATCTCTGGGTCTGGCAAGAGGATCCGAGAAGGTAGGGGGAGGCTGGGGACAAGTGAATGTGGGGATTGGAAGGGGGAAATAATTGGAGGCCAGGCGCTGCCTCCCGTTACCTGTCCCCCAAGAGGGCTTCTTTCGGCTCCAAGAGGGAGGTGGCCGGGCCCGAGCCCACTTCTCGGGCATCTCCTTGGGGACCGTCATGATCCCGGTTTGAGTGGGGGACGGCAGACCGTCTATATGTCCTTGGCCTTAGCGGCATCGAAGGGGCAGCCCTCCGGGGAGGTGCAGGAGCCGCGGCCGCTCAGAGGGGAGCCCCGGCCGTCGGGCGCGCGCCCCACTCGCAGCCCAGGCCATCCTCCCAGCCGCGGGTGCTCGGGGACGCCGCGAGCTCAGCTGCGCTGTCGCCGCCCCCCATTCCCCCTAGAGGACGCCGGCGTGCGCTGAGTGGCCCCGGACGCGCCAAGCACGCCCAGGGCTCCGCCCCCGCCCGCTCCCCAACTGCAGGGACCGCAGCCTGCCAGCGCGCCGCGTAGGCGAAAGCTCGCGCGCGAGCCCCGCCTTCCCTCCCACCCCCGGGCCTGGCCAATGCGGGGCCGGGCCAATGCGGACTGCCAGCGTTGTCGGGGGCAACCGCTTTCACGCGCACACACCCCCGCCCGCGGGAAAACCAGGAGGACGGGTGGATGGAAAAATGAGGGGGGCAGGGAGTGGGTGAAAGGACCGAGCAGAGATGAGAACACAGCTCCCGAGGCTAGAGAGCAGGAGCTGCAGGTGCCCCAAGACTGCAGATGTTTCGGGACAGGATGGTGGGAGGGAGCTGGTGCTCAGCGCCGTCCTGGCAGGTAACCGAGCTTTAGAATCAAGCGGAAGAATTCGGTTTCCTAGGCTCCCTCCAAGCTGGATAGGGGCTGTAAGCTATACCCTCCCTCAGATCCATACCAGTTGTCCCTTCTCTCTTTACTCCCTGAGCCATAACACCCACTCTTGATGGTTCCCGGGATCTCCCCTCCTTGCCTGTCTTACCTGGGGGGCGCTTTTTTGCACACAGTGCCATCTCACCCAGCAAGGTCCCAGCAATCCCATGGGAGACCCTGCAAGAAGGTGACAGATGAATGAGATCAGGAAGCTGATGGTAACTCTTCCCTCCCCTCATGAGATCCCTTTTGAAGACCCTCTTCTCCAGCTCTGACCTTGCCCCTCCCCCAGCCTCCTCCTCCCAGTCTCTCCTCTTACTGCCCTGATGGGTCCCTGGGAAAGAGGGGCCTCCCCCACCACCTCTCATCATACCCCTGCCTTGGGTGACAGGGGGGGCTGAGACTTTACAGAAGCCAAGGCCTGTAGGGAAAGAAGAGGCCAGATATTGAAAAAAGGGGCACAGCTCTAAAGGTATCCATCCCAGGGACAACGGAGGCTCCCAGGTGTTCTGGTGGCAATGAGTAGTGCTTGTGCTTACTAGAAAGCAGTTTCCCCAAAGGGGGGGGTGGAGGGAACATAAGCCAGGAAACACCTGGCAGGGCATCAGGAAACAGGGCGGGCAGGCTCCACCCTTCTCGAAAGACTTACAAGCTCTTCCTCATCCCACCCCCCATTACTGGGGCTTCCATTATCACCTCCTCCAGGGGGAGCTCACATTAGAGGCATGGCCGTCACTTTCTGCACAGACAGTCCCCAAACAGCTTCCTCTCAGCCTGGGTCAGCCACCTTTCTGGGCTGGCAGAGGGATCTGCCCAAACCTATTGGGGAGTTTGCCCCTCCTTCTCTCCCACCGAAAGCCTAGTCCAGTCAGCATGGCACTGGGGCGGGCTCAGGGAGCGCCAGTGAGACAGGTCTCTGCCTGCTCCACCTTCCCATGTCCTTTCTTTCGCCCAGAAAGCTTCAAGGCCTGGCCTTACACGACAGGGTCACAGAGCCTCATCCTTATTCCCCAGCCTGGCCCAAAGGAAACTGCCAGTCAGTCACCTCCTCTTTCTTTGTCTGAGTGGAAGGCCTTTCACCTCGTCATCCTCTGGTTCCCCCTGCCTCCAGCCTACCAGTCACACCCCACCAGCCTGTCAGCCCCAAGAGATACTAATTGCCTGTCTGGCCAACCTCTATAATTACAGACTCTGTCCATGACCCAGTCACCCACGGCAGTTCCCCCTTCGCCAGCTCAGATCCCACCCTCAACGCCAGGTCAGGCAACCCTGAAAGCCAGAAGTCCTTTTCATCCCTGACCCTCTCCTCCGAGGCAGGCGAGGGTGCCTGGCTCAGGAAGAAAAACCTCATCCACATTTTAGAGATGCCAAGCCCTCCCCCAGGGCCCCCTGCCAGGGTCTCCACCCAGTCTGAGTATGAGTCACAGGAGGGTGGGGAGCGCAGGGAGAGGTTAAAGGATGCAAGGGTGGGCATCCGAGTTCTACAGGCAGCCCCGCCCTTGAGGAGGGAGGGAGCAAGAAACACTATCAGCCTGAAGATCTGAGTTTGAGGCCCATGAAAGAGTTAAGGTAGGAGCTGCACACGCCCTCAGGAGCCAGGAGTCTGGATATGGACCAGGAAAGTTGTTTTACCTCTGAGACCCTGGGGAGACTGGAAGCAGGCTTGGCCCTAGACCTCATCCCCTCTGGGGGGGTTGGGGAGCCCTGATTCCAAGGGAAAGGGAGGAGACCTGGGAACAGGGATCACCCTCACTTTTCCCTCTCAGTCTCACACAGCCTGGGTTTTCTGAACAGGTCAGGCTCCTCAGCCACGTTGCCCTGCCCCGTCACCGTGCCCCAGCCCCCTCTCGGCCACATTTGGGATAAAAATAGCCAGCCCCGGCAAGGAGGCAAGGCTCCGTGGAGGAAAACAGCTCCTCCTATAGGTCCGGTCTCCGCTTCCTTCCAACCAAGAGCCCCAAAGGCTGGCCACTTCTTTCAGAGGAGGCTGGCAGGTCAGGGAAACGGGAGGAAATGGAAGACCCCCAGGTCACTGGCCACCTTCCCGCACCGAGGACAGAACTCAGGGCACAGCGATCATCTCCCGGAGCTACCGCCCCTCCTGACACACTCGGTTTTCCTCAGGCAGAGACAGACCTCCACCTTGGAAAGACAAAGCCTACCAGCCCAAACTCCCCTCTCCAGGCGCCGAACCCTCGGGTCCCCGCTACTCCTCTCGCCCCACAACTCTCTGGGCGGGTCTCCCTCGGCTGAGCCTGCACGAGATGCCCCTGGGCACTCGCGCCGCTCTCCTGCTCTCCACGCGCCCCTTCGGCACCCCATCCTCCCACCCAGCACACAGTCCCCCGCTCTGCCCCGTCCCCGGGCACCCGACAGCCCCTGCTCTCCGGTCGGCCGCCGCCCCCGCCCCGTCTGGCCGCAGCTCCCGACTCCCGGTCCCCGGTGCTCCCCCGTCCACACCCGCTCCCGGGCCCCTCCAGCCCCGCGGCCGCCGCCGCATCCCTCTGCCCTCCCGGCCCCGCGCTGCCGGGCGCCCCCGCCTCGCCTCGCCTCACCTCAGCGCTCAGCGCTCGGCGCCCGCCCCGGCGGCCCCGTCCTGCCCATGCCGGGGGCTGGGGCGGGGGGCGCTCGGCTCGGCTCCCCGCGGGCTCCCGCCCCCCCCAGCTGCGGCCCCGCTCCCCCGGGGCCTCGGCCCGCTACTTTGTGTCAGTTTCGGCCACGGCGGGGCGGAAGTGACGGCGCTGGCGGCGGGGCCGGGGGGCGGGAGGGGGTTTTGGGGAGGGGAGACGGATCTGGGAGGAGGGAGCGGCCATCTTTGTGCGGGGCAAGGGGAGGGTCTTAGCCCTTCCGAGGCTTGGCGTGGCCGGGCTGGGATCCCCTCTACACGCACGTCCATCTGCATCTTAAAAGAAAAAACAATTCGGGAGGCTAGATCGCTCAGAGGGTTTTTTTTAATTTGGAAGACGGGAATAGAGGAACACTGCCTTCTCTGCAAAACGAGCCTCCTCTGCAGGGAGCGGCGGGAGAGCTGCAGAAGTGGAGAACAACCAGAATTCTCCCCGGCGCCAGGTTGCCCTCAGCCCCCGACTCTCGCTCCTCGGAGCCGTCCGCCCTCTGTTCCTTCACCCCTCCTCCTCGCCCTGCCTCATCTCCTTGTATCTCACTCTCCTTGAATGAACGACCCCGCACCGAGATGTCGAGGAACCGTGCCTCAGTTTCCCCGCCTTGCTCTCGGTCTCTGCGCCCCGCCGCCCTCCCTCCCTCCGCCCCCACCACGCCCCCTAGGTGGAGGCGGCCTCCCCACCCCTAACTACCCGCTGCGGGAGGCTTCCCGAGAGGGTGAAGGCGGGAGGCGCCGAGGCGATGAGAGCCGGGAGTCGGCAGTCGGGACAGGCTGTGGAGGGCAGTCCCCAGGGTTGTGCCCTACCCTGGATGGTGGCCCCCTCCACCCTGCGGATGCCCACAGCCGTCCCCGTCCAGCGTCCGGGTGCGCACCCTCTAGCGGCTACCTCGAGTCATTACGTTCCAATAGGCCAAGGAGGGTCAGAAAACCGCTTTGCGGGAGGAGGGGGATGAGAAGCCTGAGTCCCGGTACCTTATCCTCCTCCACTTCTCCCTGTCCAGGATCCTTCTTAGGAGGAAGGGGTGCCATGTGGGTAAACGGGAAGCCTCCCAGGTTCTGGCACGTGAACAAGGAGGAAGAATAACTGTTGCTCCCAGGCGGGGTCAGTGGCTGGCTCCAGGGTCCACGAGGGAAGTGAGGATTGGCCTAATCATAGCTTACACTCCAGCATCTGAGCTGAGGCAGGAGATTCCAACTCTGAGGCTTGACGTTGGTCAGACACCAGATGTTGAACTGGCTCTGGGTCCTCAGGATGGTGCAGAGCCACCAACAGCTGGTAAGTGGCTGTGCCAAGGGTGGCCCCCACCATAGGGGCCACCACAGGCACCCACCACCAGCCATTACCAGCACTGCAAAAGAAGGACAATAGGAAGGTATCAGGAGTGACTCCCTTAGCCTCCCCCTCTCCAAGGACCAGGGGCAGTAGCAAGAGAGTGCCCTAAAGTTGTTCCCAGAGTGGTAGACACCAGGAAGAGGATTGCCTTGGCACCAAAGCATAGTATTTAGAAGAGGGAACCCCAGGAGAGCTCTATCCAGCCTCTTGCCTTAAGGAGTGATCTGAATATATTAATTTTGCTGATGAAGTCTCTAATGTGCACAGAGGTAATATGGCATGCTCAAGAACACAACCTCTAAATCTTACTGTGTCAGTGAAAAGTGGGGAGGGAAGCAAGGGAGGAAGAGGGAGCATGTGACTTGGAGAAAGAACATTGTCCTAAGAGGCCAAGAGAGCTATTTAAAGACAGACTTTGGGGACCCAGGGACAGAGCCCTTAGCAGAGGAAGGTGAGTGGAGGCCAGCACCAGAGGAGAAGGTCTCTCCCACCTGAAGACTTCAGGACCCCAGCCAGCCACGTAGGTGAAGAGACGTGGGCCCAGGTCCCGGGCTGGGTTGAGTGGATACCCACAGTTGGCACCCATGGATAACCCGATGGCCAAGACCAGCATCCCCACCACCACAGGCTCCAGACCCGCAGGGACTCCCTTGTTCCGTCTGTCCAGGATGGCCAAGAGCCCCACAATCAGCATGCCGGTGCCCAGAACCTTGGAGTCAACAGAGGTAGAGGGGTCCCTGTCAGCTTCCACGTGCTCCATCTGCCCTCTGTCATCCAAATGCTCCATGTCGTCTAGCTTTGTACAACACAGGCAGTTGGAGATGGTAGGGGGCGCTGAGATAGAACCAACCTACGCTCTACCCAGAGACTGAACAATGGGCTGGGGTCCCAAGGAGCAGGGCGAAAGTTGGGTCCCCAGACCTCCCCCTCACACCTACCTGATCCAGGAAGCCATTGTTCAGGGACAGATAGGGGGCAGGATAGGTGGCAAAAATAGAGGCTGTCTCCTTGGGGCCAGTCACTGTCAGGTTCCCACCTGTATAGTTCTGCAGGGCATCTGCGGATGATGGGAACACCCAGGATTTCCCTCTTTGCTTGTTCATCCAAAACCATTGGGAGGCATCCCTGCCCACCCACAGGTGCTCCCAAGGCACGGCTCCCTCTGTTCCCTCTGTCACCATAGTAGAGAACATAGGTGGCTCCCGAAGCACAGAAAGCCGACAACAGCTGCACCAAGATGTAAATAGGGAGCTTGACCCAGGGGAAGCGTCCAAGGAGGCACATGGCCAGGGAGAAGGCTGGATTCAGGTGGGCCCCTTCAAGGATCAAGGAAAGAAATACAGCATCTGTTAAGTGTCACTGCCACGCATTGTCACCAGACCACACTGCCGCTTCTTCCTACAGCCCTTAAGGGAGGTAGTATAATTTCCATCACACAGCTTAGGAAGTTGAGGCTCCAGAATGTTAGGCAGTTTATCAAAGTCACGCTGTGGGCTGGGCACCGTGGCTCACGCCTGTAATCACAGCACTTTGGGAGGCCGAGGCAGGTGGATCACTTGAGATCAGGAGTTTGAGACCAGCCCAGCCAACTGGTTAAAACCCATCTCCACTAAATACACAAAAATTAGCCAGGTGTGGTGGCAGGCACTTGTAATCCCAGCTATTTGGGATGCTGAGGGAGGAGAATTGCTTAAACCCAGGAGGGAGAGTTTGCAGTGAACAGACATCACATCGCTACACTTCAGCCTGGGCAACAGAGTAAAACTCCATCTCAAAAAAAAGGAAGAAGACACTGTGAATCCAAGGTTGGAACCTAGGTCCGTCTGCTTTATCTGCAGCAACACACTATGTCTCAAGGCTCCAGCCAGGCACACCAAGGCACTATGTATCATCGGACAAGCAGGAGAGGTCCTGAGCAGAGATGAGCCCCCAGAGGGCTTCGGGTGGGTAACACAAAATGATAGCCCACTGTGCCTGCCATAGATGTCTACCTAGGTGAGCCAAGCATTCGTGTGAGGAAGAGGGATGGAGAGATACAGAAAGGGGATGGGCTGGTGGGGCCAAAGGCTTATCTCGGTCTGGGGCACTGCTCAAGCCAAGGAGATAATGTCCATGAGTCACAGAAGGATTTGCCTTTCCACCGTCACCAGACAGACATGCTCACATGCACGTCCCACTGCTCCGATGACCAGACCCCTCCCTCCTCACCTGAGACATTACCACCCACGTAGATGGCTATCGTGACGGCCAGAGAGCCAGCCAGAAACATGGTGAAGAAGTTGCCTTTGGCTTCTCCACTGGTGACAGCCTGGGCCACAGCTCCTTGGGTGAGGAGCTGGGGAGAAGAGGGGGGATGAGGAACAGGGAGCCGCGGAGACCGGCAGGGAGAAGGTGGGGAAGGCCAGGGGAGCAGCCCAGGAGACGAAGGGGCTCGGAAGACAGGCACGGGAGGGAGAAAAGCAGGAGGGGAGGGAAGAGATATGGGGACAGTGGAGGAAGAAGAGACGGAAAGCATGTGGGAAGAAAAGAAGAAAAATGACAAGAATAAGAAAGATGAAGCAGAAGAGGAAAGGAAGTTAGGAGAGATGAGAGGATGAAAATAAAAGCGATTGGGAGTTGGCAGGAGGGGGACACCAAGAGAAAGAGATAAGGACACCAGAAGGAGCCAGGAACTTTTGCCCACCTCCCTTCTTCCCTCCCCCAGTTACCCGACCTACCATGAGCACAAACACACCCAGAAACTCTGCCAGGCACTGCCGGGCCAGGAGGCTGCGTATCCGGAGGTGGCCCCTGACTTCAGCCCGGGCCTGAGTGAAGACCATGGTGGAAACACCCTGTGCTGCTCACTCTCCCTCTGTCTGCATAGGCACACTGCCGCTGCACGGCCACCGCCTGCCCCCAGCCAAGATAAGGAGGAGACTTTAAAACCATTAGCTCAATGACTGAACAGCGGCTACTGTCTATGCACGTGTGTAGGCTGGGAAACAGAGAGATAACAGAAGAATGTCTGGGAGCGGGCTATGAGCACAGAGCCTGGCGTTTGCGCAACGTCGGCCTCGTCTATCCTTTATCCCCATTCATCACAGGACTAGCCTCCCTCATCCTGAGAGACTGAAGGAAGTACCTTGCTTCATATACATTAGATCTCTTGGTCCTGAAGTCAGCTCTGCAAAGTCGCACTATTGCTTCTATTCTACAGATGAGGCTACTGGGCCTCAGGACTCCCCAAGATCACACACTTTTTTCTCTTTTTTGAGAGACAGTCTTGTTCTGTCACCCAGGCTGGAGTGCAGTGGTACCATCTCAGCTCACTGCAACCTCCGCATCCCAAGTTCAAGCGATTCTCCTGCCTCAGCCTCCCAAGTAGATGGGACTACAGGTGTGCACCACCACACCCAGCTAATTTTTATATTTTTTAGTAAAGACAAGGTTTCACCATGTTGGCCTGGCTGGTCTCGAACTCCTGACCTCTAGTGATTCACCCACCTCAGCCTCCCTCCCAAAGTGCTGGGATTACAAGTGTGAGCCACTTCGCCCGGCCCAAGAGCACACAATTATTTCATGGCTGAGTGAATTCAAATCCAGATCTTCTGACTTTCCATCTGGTAGCCCACAAAGCCTCTCATTTAGAACCTGAAGCCTTTCCCCAAACCATTTGGATGCTTGAAGAACTCAATAGGCATCTGGAGAGACGAGGCTAAAGACCGTAGACTGTGAGAATGAAACCCACACAGTGAGTGCTTGTACTTCCTTAATGCAGTCTCGTATCGGTTAGAGA